TAAAGGGGGCTTTGCACCAGAGACCAACTATTTGCTGGTCAAACTGCCAGGTGTACTCATTATGCTGCCTTGTGGTAGATGAGGAGGTTGAGGGAAATATATGTAGTGGAATAATTTAGCATTATGTATAATTTTGTCTTTGTATTGTTTAAACGATTTAAGGGGGTTTGGATTAAAATAGTCTAATAACTAGGACAAATTGTCCTAGTTCTCAGATATTTTAAATTGGGGAGAAAGGGGGGTGTGATGTAGTCCAGCTGGCTTGTAGGTCTCTGGGGAGACCTAATTTGACCAATTATATGGTCACACCTTGCCCTTTGGCAGGCGTCGTAGCCACGCCCACGTCTGAGATCTTTTGTTCTTGACGCCTCAGACCTAGGCGTCAGTCGCCCAATACGTGGTTGTGGAGGGTGCTTGGACCACCATAAAAGCCCAAGGAAGAGCTTGATCAAGGGGACTCGAGCGGAGCTGCTGCCGGGGTGCAGAGCTCCTGAGCAGAGATTCGAGCGGAGCTGCTGCTGGGGTTGCAGGGCTCGGGAAAGGCTGCTGAAGTCTCTGGAGGAGACTGTTGGAGGCACTGGGCAGAGTACTGGCTTGGCGTCGTACTCGTGCTGTGTAGGTCTTGGGACCTGTGGCTTCCTGTAGTGAACTGTCCTCTGTGCATAGTGTAAGTTACATTCATTTTGGTCAAGTTGATTGTGTTCCCTGTCTCACTGCTTATGTGTACCATCCCATTTATCTAAACCACAATAGTGTTCTGTTCCCAAATATATTATTGTACAAAGACTTAATAATAAACTGTGTTTGATAGAATAGTAATATTCACTGTCCCTGTTACTTGCTATTCATATTTCTTAAAATTTTATTATGTTTATATATAGTGAAGAGTGGGTGAGGCATATGTTAGTGAGTATTGTAGAGTTAATGAGAGTGTCGTGGTGGTCACCACTGACCTGTCATTACCTACCTACCTCCGCTAATCATCTCACTCCTACCACCTCGCCTGCCTCTCCCCTGCCTACATAATCCCTTACTCCCATATTCCCCACTTATATCCTATTCAATCATTACCCCCCTACATGACAACCAGAACTTGTTCAACAACAGAACCAGAACTTGTTCAACAACAGAACCAGATCTTGTTCAACAACAGAACCAGAACTTGTTCAACAACAGAACCAGAACTTGTTCAACAACAGAACCAGAACTTGTTCAACAACAGAACCAGAACTTGTTCAACAACAGAACCAGATCTTGTTCAACAACAGAACCAGAACTTGTTCAACAACAGAACCAGAACTTGTTCAACAACAGAACCAGAACTTGTTCAACAACAGAACCAGAACTTGTTCAACAACAGAACCAGATCTTGTTCAACAACAGAACCAGAACTTTCAACAACAGAACCAGATCTTGTTCAACAACAGAACCAGAACTTGTTCAACAACAGAACCAGAACTTGTTCAACAACAGAACCAGAACTTGTTCAACAACAGAACCAGAACTTGTTCAACAACAGAACCAGAACTTGTTCAAAAGTAACCCATGATTCGCTTTTACGTGGAAACCAAATTTTTTTGTAAATTTTGAGGGAAAAGAAATATTATTTTTACGAGAAAGCAAATCACTTTCACAATGGAAAGCAGAACTATAACAATTGAGTCTTCAGGGAGAGGTGATGGAGGAAGAATAGAGCCCTGGTTGGAGCAGAGTAGAGCTCTGGTTAGACGAGACAGAGTAGAGCCCTGGTTGGACGAGACAGAGTAGAGCCCTGGCTGGACGAGACAGAGTAGAGCCCTGGCTGGACGAGACAGAGTAGAGCCCTGGTTGGACGAGACAGAGTAGAGCCCTGGTTGGACGGAACAGAGTAGAGCCCTGCTGGACGAGACAGAGTAGAGCCCTGGTTGGACGAGACAGAGTAAGCCCTGGCTGGACGAGACAGAGTAAGCCCTGGTTGGACGAGACAGAGTAGACCCTGGTTGGAACGAACAGAGTAGAGCCCTGGTTGGACGAGACAGAGTAGAGCCCTGGTTGGACGAGACAGAGTAGAGCCCTGGCTGGACGAGACAGAGTAGAGCCCTGGTTGGACGAGACAGAGTAGAGCCCTGGTTGGACGAGACAGAGTAGAGCCCTGGCTGGACGACACAGAGCACCACACGCCCAGTAATAGTATCGTCTCTACCAGTTTTTACTTCTCAATCGTAATATACAGACTTACCGTTGTTTCCCCTCACCCACATGACCTGTAGGGTCAGAGGTCATAAATCACAGATGTGTGTTGCGGTTAAACTGGCATGGGAATACCAACAAACTGAAAAAATAACTATTTGTGTTCTTTTCAGGACATTTATGACATCAAACGTTTCGCCTTACTAGAACTGATGAAGCCCAGGGGCGAAATGTTCTCTATAATAAATGTCCTGAACTATACAGTTTAGTTTAATATGTTTATTATGCACCTCATACCCATCCTGTGGGCGGTAGTCACCCCATACCCATCCTGTGGGCGGTAGTCAAAAGATTACAGAGGTACATAATTGGTCCAGGGACTGGACTCCAAAGTTTTGATAGCTGAGCAAGTTACAAAGGTAATGAACTCATAATTTACAAAGGTAATGAACTCACAATTTACAAAGGTAATGAACTCCAGGTAGGTCTAGTCACAATTATGACAAGTTACAAAGGTATTTACAGATTACAGAGGTACGTAATGGGTCCAGGGACTCGGCTCCAAAGTTTGATAGCTGAACTAGGTACAAAGGTAATGAACTCACAAGTTACAAAGGTAATGAATCCTGTAAGAATGGTTACTTACGTTTATACATGGCTACAATCATAAATAAATGTCATTTTCCACAGCTGTTTCAGTCATATTCCATCACACAGGAGGGTGTTTCACTGTCATATTCCATCACACGGGATGGTATCACTATCATATTCCATCACACAGGATGGTATCACTATTATATTCCATCACACGGGATGGTGTCACTGTCACATTCCATCACACAGGATGGGATACATTTATGAGGTAATGAAAGTGTCAGTTTGAGCTGGGAAGCTTCAACAGGGGGGTCATGTGGATGTGGTCAAACATTCCACTGGGGGTCCAGCAACTGCGACAGTTTTAAACATTTTATTTCAGCAGAGCTGCAGTAACTATCAACTGGCAATTGCTACAATGACTCAGTGTCGAGAAGGAGGAGAAGGGAAGGAGGGAGAGCGAGAGGAAGAGGAGGGAGGGAGACCGAGAAGAGGAGGGAGCTCCGGAGAGCACAGTGGGAAGTCAGTAATTAACGTAAACATGGGAAGTCGCTGGTGGAGAAGTCTTCTTGGTATAAACCTTGGTAATAGATACCGATAAATCGGTTTAGAAAGACATCTTAGCTAACACTAGGATATATTAGACAACGTTTCGGTCCTGAGACCTTGATCATTTCTAACATAGCTAAGAAGACAGTATATATAGGTGAAGAATGAGGTGTGAGCGACGCATGGTGACCTGACGCAGAGTGGACTCAAAGGAGAGATGGAAAATGTAGCAGGATGGAGGACGTTCCAAGATAACACTGAAATCACAGGAGAGATGGAGGATGTTCAAAAATAACACAGATCACAGGAGGGATGGAGGATGTTCCAAGATAACACAGATCACAGGAGGGATGGAGGGTGTTCCAAGATAACACAGATCACAGGAGGGATGGAGGGTGTTCCAAGATAACACAGATCACAGGAGGGATGGAGGGTGTTCCAAGATAACACAGATCACAGGAGGGATGGAGGGTGTTCCAAGATAACACAGATCACAGGAGGAAGGAAGTAATTTTGTTGTCTCTGATACAATTTTTATCCCTCCTTCCCGTCTAATCCCTTCTTTACTCCCTGCCTCGCCCCTTCCTCCCGGGAGCCTTGCAACCTCGGCCCTTCCTCCCGGGAGCCTTGCAACCTCGCCCCTTCCCTCTAGCTGCTCTATCAGCTTAGCCTCTCTCCTCTCCTTCCCTAAATACACCATTCTTTCACTGAACATAGATGATACATACAAAGTACACTTATACTAAATGAACGTTTGAAGCCAATCGGAAGAGCCATTTTTCAATTATCGCAGAGACTAATAATCCCCACTTTATAAATTATTTAGTTCTTAATCAAAAAATAATCCAAACCTTAATCTAACTAGGCTACACCAGCGGAGGCATCACAGGATACCATATATACAACGGTAAATGTATATCTCGGTGTATATACACTGAGTCTACTTAGGTATTCTTGACTGGTGGTGAAGAGGTAACATGCAGCCTTAATGGCCCTAGTATTGTTGATAGGCTTTAAACACCATTAACTAACCTTAACCAAGAAAATTATGTACATAAATTTATTCAGGTACAGGTACACATATATACAGTTACATAAATTATCATACATAGCAGCATATTTATAATTATCTAGGGTAACCTCCAAAAAGTCAGTGACTTATTTCCATTGGCGTCAAGTGATAGCAGAGAAACACGTCACTAGTAAAACTGTCATATTATCACAGCACAATAACAGAACTTCTAAGATACACCGAGGGAAAGTTTGAAATGACTGCACAGGAATCTTGGATGGAAAATAAGACTCGCCATGCAGTCAAGCACCAGACGAGCCTGGCCCATGGCCGGGCTGCGTGAGTAGCAAAAACTCGAAACTCATCAAAGGTAAGATAGATAACACCCCCTTTTCGGGGATACTAATAACACAGTGATGACAGAGCCCCCAGCACGCAACACCAAGGTCACACACCAACAATATACTACCTCGATACAAAAGTATTGATAACAATAGGGAGATTAGGTACAGACTGCAGAGAACGTTCTTACTGGGGCAAGCAACGTTTTGCTCTACACAGTTTTATCACTTGACAAAACTTTACACAGAGCAGAATATTTTGTGTAAATAAATATCAGCTCTGCACACAGTTTTAACTTATTTGTGGAGGAGAGTTACCGTCCAAATATACTTACCATTGACGGGGCGTCCTGTATACAAGCTTACTCTCCCGTCTCCTATAGTAGCTGCCAGGAGACACAAATACACCTTATTATACAGATATATTATATTTATTATGCAGATAGTTATTACATAAATTAATGAGATTTATTAAACAAATTAATTACTATTACATAGACTAATCTGACTGGATATATCGAAGCAACTGCCCAATAACTGAAATACATATATCTGATGCAACACTGGAATGCCAGCATCTCTAAAAAGGATTATACCAGGTAATCTAGCATGGCATGCATATGCATGAATGTTTGTGCACGCATGCGTGTGTGCACGTCCCTACGTGCGTGTGTGTGTGTGTGTGTGTGTGTGTGTGTGGCTTTCATTAGTAAGGTCTGCGTGTTTTTCCTCCCTGTGTTCAGAGGGTCGGCCGAGGCTGGTCCCCACAACCTTGAGATCTCATTGTTGATGGAATCTCTTATGTAATATTGACTTTGCTCCAGGAAGTGCACAAATGTATTCTTCAAGCGCAATAAAAGGCTCAAGACCGTGGCTGCAGCAATTCTCAACTAACCCACAATAATGCAAATCACAATACCGTGGCCGTAGCAATTCTTAACTACCTCATACTTCAGAAATATTCCCTCACAAATAAATCATCAATATGAGCCGAAATGTCTGAACCTTCCTGTTCAAATTTTTGGTTGTAAAATATTTCTAAAAAAAAAAAAAAAAAAATCCTCAAACCAGAGATAATTTGAACTAACCTAACCTGACCCAGCCTAACTTAACCTAACCTACCCTGACCTAACTTAACCAAGTCCAACACAACCTAGTCTAATCTAACCTAAGTCCGATATAACCTAGTGTAATCTAATCTAACGTAACCTAACTTAACCTAGCCCGACTGAACCTAGTCTAATTTAATCTAACCTAACTTAACCTAGCCCAACCCAACCTAGTCTAATCTAATCTAACGTAAGTTAACCTAGCCCAATCCAACCTAGTCTAATCTAATCTAACCTAACTTAACCTAGCCCGACTGAACCTAGTCTAATCTAATCTAACCTAACTTAACCTAGCCCAACCCAACCTAGTCTAATCTAATCTAACGTAAGTTAACCTAGCCCAATCCAACCTAGTCTAATCTAATCTAACCTAACTTAACCTAGCCCGACTGAACCTAGTCTAATCTAATCTAACCTAACTTAACCTAGCCCAACCCAACCTAGTCTAATCTAATCTAACGTAAGTTAACCTAGCCCAATTCAACCTAGTCTAATCTAATCTAACCTAACTTAACCTAGCCCGACCCAACCTAGTCTAATCTAATCTAACATAACTTAACCTAGCCCGACTCAACCTAGTCTAATCTAATCTAACGTAACTTAACTTAGCCAAACCCAACCTAGTCTAATCTAACGTAACCTACCGACCTGGAGGGTCTACCTGGAGAGTATTCCGGGGATCAACCCCTCCGCGGCCCGGGCTTAATCTAACACTTTCTAAAACTAAAAATTGCGCTTGTTTCACTGGCTCTACATGGCACTTTGTTGACACAAAGCTTGATACAATGTGAAACTCACCTTGGTAAGTGACAGCAGTACACGCCAGCAGTAACAACCCAAACCTCGCAACTACACACACATCCATCTTCACCCACTTCCAGGAAGACGATAATCGCTCATGTACTGTAAAGAACACACTTTGTATTATTATTATTATTATTATTATTATTATTATTATTATTATTATTATTATTATTATTATTATTATTATTATTATTATTATTATAGTGAAAAAGCGCCTATCTAGAAAGAATAAAAAGTCATAATATCGTGACTGGAACAATATACAAATAATGCGTACATAGGAGAGAGGCTTTTGACGACATCTCGGCCCGACTTGGCCCATTTACAGCCATAGTATGACTGTAAGCGGTCCAGGTCGGACCGAAACGTCTTCGTTAAGGTTCTCTCTCATATGTACGGGTTATTTGTGTACAGTGTCTATCCAGTGTTAACTCCTACAATGGAAGGAGTGATGCAGGATCGATCCTCCATCCGCTAACTAAAGTGTATAACTACAGGTTCGTTCTCCCACCATCACCCCAGGGTGACTTCCACCCTTGGTTAGAGCGTCCGGTGTACAACCGAATGATCCAGATTTCGATTCCCTGGTGGGGCGAGACGCACAGTCATGTCTTAACCCATCTTTCCCCTCCTCGCCTAGCAGTACACAGATACATGGGTGTTAGTCGACTGTTGTGGGTGAGTTTATTTAGGTACAGATACACATAAGTAGTTACACAAATTCAGGCGACTACAACTATATGATACATAGTAACATATGTGTAAATCACTAGGATAACCCACCCAAAAAAAGTTAGTGACTATTTCCAATGGGATCCTTGTGGCATTCTGGGAGATATTATTTTCAGTGTCAATGTGTGAAAAACTGCATGACTCTTAAGTGTTGGGCAAAAAAGGTATTCGGAAAACTGCTGTGTCATTAAGACGATAATGAAGTCAATAATGCCACCGCCATCTCTGACGCAACAACTATCATCACCACCATTATCAACCAACAATAGCACACACAACTTGGTGTGGTAACACAGATGCTGTGATGTGGGAAGCAGCATATTGTTGCATGTTCAGTGGTCATCTCAAGTGTGTGTGTACAGGGAGCATCCTCCTCTTCTCTCTATTCTCTCTTCAGTCTCTCAGAGACGAAGAGAAATGCAGAAACGCGTCGAAAGACTGAGAGACAGTATCAAGTAACTTAGTACTGTTATGCAAAACCATGGAGTTGAATGATAGCTCTAGGCCTTTCGTGTTGCAATCAATACATCTTCGGGGGTTTGCAATGTTGCAGAAATGAGTAGGAAGTCCAGGTAGATTCGTTCAAGGGAATGGCTCTAGCTAGAATGAGATGACATCTTATGCCATCTCATTCTAGTTAGGAGTCGTTCCCTTGAATGAATCTACATGGACTTCCTGCTCATTGCTGTAACATTGCAAGCTCCTGAAGATGTGTTGATTACAACACGAAAGGCCTAGATATATCTTTCAACTCCTCCAGTAGTTGTTTTGCATCTTGTATCGCTTGTTCGTGATTACTGCTTAGCAGTATTGTATTTATGGAAAAGCGCTAAACCCGTGAGGGAGCACAGCATGTGAAATGAGGAGAAATCAGGTCTCTGGATCTAGTTCCTTGGATCCAGAGCTCTTCAACGCATCCTCTTGGAAAGTAAATTATTTCCTATACACACCAGGAGATAATTCCGCAGTTATGTATCTGCATACTTAAAGAAGTGCTTCTGTCAAACACCCCCCCCCCACCCTTCCATTCCCCACACAGCCACCCCACCGCCCACCCATTCCTCACCCTGCCACCCCACCTCCCAGTTGGTATGTCCTCTTCCTGTGTGGCAATTATGTCCACACACACACACCTCAACCCCAACGTACCCCCTTCCCCGTCAGACCACAGTTTTAGAAAAGAAGTTGATGCTTTGGTATACAAATGCAGATGGAATAAGAAATAAATGTGAGGAGTGGCATGAAAGAATCAAGGAGACATCCCCAGACATAATAGCACTCACAGAAACGAAACTCACCAGGATAACAGATGCAATCTTTCCCCTCAAGGAAGGTTCCTTGATGTTGGTGAGGGGCTCTTGATTTAGGGAATTGGATCTTTGCTCCAGTTCCCCGAATTAAGCCTGAATGCCTTCCACATCCCCCCCCCCCAGGTGCTGTATAATCCTCCGGGTTTAGCGCTTCCCCCTTGATTATAATAATAATAATCCACCCGGATATCAAATCCTCAGGAAAGATAGAGGGAGCAGAGGGAGAGGAGTTGCACGGTTCATAAAAAACCGGTGGGGATTTGAGGAAATGGATGGAATGGGCGAAAGGGACTATATAGTAGGAACAATCCAGTCTGAGGGCCATAAGGTGGTAATTGCAGTAATGTACAACCCGCCACAGAACTGCAGCAGGCCAAGAGAAGAATACGACGAGAGCAACAGAGCAATGGAAGACACACTAGCCGAGGTGGCCAGAAGAGCTCACATGGGGAGAGCAAAGTTGCTAGTTATGGGTGATTTCAATCACAAGGAGATTGACTGGGAAAACCTGGAGCCCCATGGGGGTCCCGAAACATGGAGAGACAAATGCAAAGTCATGAAGATCGGGGAAGGGCAAAGAAGACATCAGACAGAGTATACTAGGTGGCCAAAGACTGCAAACCTCACTCAAGGAAAAAAATTTTGGGGTGAGTATAATACCGAGCACATATGAGGTGCACATCAATCAGATAACTGCTGCAGCATATGGGTGCCTGGCAAACCTGAGAATAGCGTTCCGATACCTCAGTAAGGAATAGTTCAAGACTCTGTACACCATATATGTTAAGCCCTTATTGGGGTATGCAGCACCAATTTGGAATCCATACCTGGTCAAGCACGTCAAGAAATTAGAGAAAGTGCAAAGGTTTGCAACGAGACTAGTCCCAGAGCTAAGGGGGATTGTCCTACGAAGAAAGGTTAAGGGAAATCGGCCTGACGACACTGGAGGACAGGAGGGTCAGGGGAGACATGATAACGACATATAAAATACTGAGAGGAATAGACAAGGTGGACAAAGACAGGATGTTCCAGAGATGGGACACAGAAACAAGGGGTCTCAATTGGAAGTTGAAGACTCCTGTGAGTCAAAGGGATGTTAAGAAGTATTTCTTCAGTCAGAGAGTTGTCCGGAAGTGGAACAGCCTATAAAGTGACGTAGTGGAGGCAGGAACCATACATAGTTTTAAGATGAGGTTTGATAAAGCTCATGGAGCAGGTAGAAAGAGGACCTAGTAGCAATCAGTGAAGAGGCGGGACCAGGGGCTATGAATAGACCCCTGCAACCACAAATAGGTGAGTACACACACACACACACACACACACACACACACACGTGCGCGATAAAGCTCATGGAGCAGGGGGAGAGTGGACCTAGTGGCGACTGGCGAAGAAAGCGGGGCCAGGAGCTATGAATCGACCCTTGCAACCACAGATAAGTGAGTACACAAACACAAACAAGGGAAATGGGCATTACACATCGTCAATGTCTGTCTTCCCACGTTAAAAATTATTATATAATTATTATATATTTTTTGTAGTGAAGATGCATGTGTGTGTGTGTGCGTGTGTGTTGTGTGTGTGTGTGTGTGTGTGTGTGTGTGTGTGTGTGTGTGTGTGTGTGTGTGTGTGTGTGTGTGTGTGTGTGTGTGTGTGTGTGTGTGTGTGTCTGGCGCAGAAGGCGGCATCTTTTGTATTCTTGAGAGGTGAGAAGACACAAGGGCGTCTCATTCTACTGTAGTGTGTATATGTGGCAAACAGCGGAAGACACGAGTGTATGTGGCAAACAGCAAAGACGTGAGTGTGTGTGGCAAACAGCAGAAGACGTGAGTGTGTGGCAAACAGCAGAAGACATGAGTGTGTGTGGCAAACAGCAGAAGACATGAGTGTGTGTGGCAAACAGCAGAAGACGTGAGTGTGTGGCAAACAGCAGAAGACGTGAGTGTGTGGCAAACAGCAGAAGACGTGAGTGTGTGGCAAACAGCAGAAGACGTGAGTGTGTGGCAAATAGCAGAAGACGTGAGTGTGGCAAACAGCAAAGACGTAAGTGTGTGGCAAACAGCAGAAGACGTGAGTGTGTGTGGCAAACAGCATAAGACATGTGAACGTGACTTGTCACGTCACTTCCCACACCCTCATCCATACCGCAGTGCCGTCAAGTGTAAACAACCTCAATTTACACACCCTTAGGATGTTTTTCCCTGTCATTTTCCTGTTTTACTGCTGCTATTAAGATTCCGTCCAGGTTGAGGCCCCAGTTTCTGGACTCATTATGACCCTCTAATCTTTTGTCTACTGCCCACAGCATGGGTATGGGGTGATTACCACCCACAGGATGGTATACGGTAAATACCATTCACAGCATACTTGTATATAAAATTCTATGTGACCAATCCACTGACGATGCTAGTCCAAACAGTCGGTTTTGCGACTGTTTATAAAGTCAGAGATACGAATGCTGCTAAAGATGGTATATAGTATCTTTCACTGTATTCTAAACGCTAGTAGCCTTGATAATTAGTCTAAGTATAATAATAGCAATAATATCTTTATTTCTGCAAGTACATGATCCAGGTAAACATACAACTTATACAGACCATAGCTCACATCAATGACATCCTGTATAAGAAGCCCCTTGTTATGCAGAGCATAACACCAGTCGACTAACACCCAGGTAATTATTTACTGCTAGGTGAACAGAGACCCAGGTAACTATTTACTGCTAGGTGAACAGGGACAGCAGGTGTCTTAGGGAAACACGCCCTAATGTTGCCACCCGTGCCGGTAATCGAGCCACGGTCCTCAGTGTAAGGTGAGTGCGGTACCAACCCTAGTGCAGTCGATAGATTTTTACACCTAGCAAAGACCTAATATGCCATTGACAAACATGGGTGAGAAGGCCATTCAACATTTAAAGATTGGTTATTTGAGTTGCTAGCCTTAGTCAAGCCTACATGTATATACACCACCAGTCAAGGATACTGTAATCCCTAATATAGAGATTAAAGGAAACTATCAGCATATACACAGCATATACATTCGGGGAATTGCCAATAAGCC